TAGCAGCGCTTTGCCGCCTGCACTGCAGTTGACACTTGAGCTGTGGCGGGGGCGTCGACGTTAGCCTAAGCGGCTTACACGTGCCAGAGGCCATGCCAGTGTACGGAATGGGCTCCATAAGGACACCAATGCTTATAAATAAATTGCAGCCACGTACGAGCGGGCCTCTCGATTTACAGGCGCTGATAGCAGAAGAGTTTCCTGCGAGAGAGAAAGAGAGAGAGAGAGTCCTGCGTTGAAAGTCACCAATTTCGCGATGTTTTTTACACACTTTAAGCACTTATAATTTACACTTAAATTTACGACAAGTATGCACATGTAGCCCACAGCACAGGGCACACTCTCTTGAGCAGTTTACAAAACAAAAGTTGGGTCGTAATATAACACAAGATTTGCTTTAGAATAAACATGCGTATATAGAGAGCTGTTGGATGCATGCACATGTTTGATTTAACTAGCTGAAATAAACAAAATCAACCGAACTCAAAGGTGATTGAAAAGTTAGCGAGGTCCACTGATTTCCATAAAGCTTGCTCCAGTAGATCATCTGCGAGTTGGTCATCATCTTTGTAGGCTTCAGTTAATGCGAGCTAATCGCGTTGTCTTAATAACTAACCTCATTTCGAAAGTGAAAAAAACGTTCTGTGTACTTTTCAAATATACTTTTTTTCATATATTTATTGGCTAACTCTTTAAACGTTACTCTGTAGTTGTTGTTTCTTAATTCTTTTTCATTTTTGTTTGTTGATTTTGTTTTCTTTTAATTATATTATTAGTATACATATAAATAATTAAAAATATTACATTAAAATGTATTCGTATATCGTATAGAAGTTGCTGCTTGTTGGTTTTTTATATGTTGTTTGTTTTTAGTTTTAAGTTTTTGATTGCGTTTTCTTCTCTGCTAGATCATTACCATAAGTTTTCATATCATGTTTCTCATTTTACAATTTTGCTAAAAACTAAATAAAGTTTGTTTCGTAAAACAATAATAATAAAAATGTATGCATGAAGACAAATAACTAAATTTTATGCATGTGTGTATATATTTTAAAAATAAAAGCAAAATCTCAATTATTTTTAAAATATATATTTACGTATTTATTTGTTTGCATTATTTTCATTATTTTATTTACTTGAGTTATATTTTTATAAAATATCACCTAAAGCAATTACGTATTTCAGTTTCAGTTTGTATTTTGTTTTTTTTTTCGGTTTTCGTCTTGTTTTTACATGACAACAATAAAAAATTTTCGCTTTGTTTGCAAAACATTCAATACTCAAAACTAATTATAAGAAAATTATCAAACAAAGTGTTCAACAAAATGCAAAAGCTCGCAAAAATCATAGGAAACAATTCGTTGCAGCCAATTTTGCAACAGTTTATATATATATATATATTTGTAGTATATAGAGTTTTTTATTTAATTATTTATTTTATTTTTTTTAGTTTTCTTTTTTTTTTTTTCTTTTTTTAACTAAAAAGCAACTAAGATCGCTTGGCCACAGATTTATGCTAAAATTATTTGTATTATAATTACAGCATTAATTTATTTCGTATGGTTGATGTTGTTTTGAAATTTTTTTCTTTCCATTTTCATGAGATAAAGTACAACAACTATTTTTAGTTTATTTTTTATTATAATGTTTTTTTTTTTGTTTTACAAATATAACTATTTGCAAGATTTTTATGTGTTTCGTTTATTCTTAAGTTGAAAAAATAGTACAAAAGCTTTGACATATTCTCAGTTTTATTAGTTTGTTGGTTTCTTTCACTAATAAACCAGTTGGTTTATAGTCTACTTGTAAAGTGTAAGTATACAAATGACTGCCCATATAGCTGGACTGCAACCGAGTACAGTTCCATTAAGTACAATGTTTGGTAGTTTATGGTTATTAATATAATTTTTTTCGTTTTTTAGTATGCGTAAACTTAAAAGGTAGGAGAATATAGCGATAGAGAAAGTGCCTAGAGCTGGGAAGAGTTCTTCGGAAATTAGTTAAGGGAGTTTAGGTTTAGTTTTAGTTTAGCTTAGCATACCTAATAATACGTAGCCTTCCGTTACGGATACTAAGAACTATATAACGTACATTTAGTTAGACCGCTATAGTATACATAGAGTTGAAAGGTAGGGAGTGAGTGAGCAACCGCAAGTAGTTGCAGTTGCAGCTGAAGTTGATTTGGGTTTGGGTTTGGGTTTGGGTTAGGCCTAGTCTAGTTGTAAGTATGATTGGGATAGTACAATGGGATTATCTTATTCCATCTCTTAACTGCTGTTTTTTGAGCACCAAAAGCTGCGCTGCTCTACATACGTAGATACGTACTGACATATTTATAATTGTTGATAGTTTTTAATTACATGTATTTTTAATAATAGTATCGCGTTTAGCATTTTACGTATTTACTTGTATAGTTAAAAATTTTGCTTAATAAATGCTTAAAGTTTTTTTGTTTTTGCTGATCTTGAATTATAACCTAAACAGTATCCCGTTCATTACGTATATAAAGTTTTCGCACGGTTTCTAGCTCATTTAAAATGTCATCGTATATGCGCGTTTCAACTCTCAATTAATTCAATTAACTTAAATCTGTTTTTTCTTTCTGTCCTTCTTTTTCTTTAAACAATAATAGAAAAACATATGTTTTACTTTATGTTTTGTTCGTATACTTTGCATTTGAACTCAGGTTGATTTTTCTTTTATTTATCTTTTTATTTACGTATTTGAGTTGCACTTGGTTCTCCATTCTCTTCAAGAACGCATTGAAATAAGATTTATAAAAGAAAATAAAAAAAAAGTGAAAGTCTAACAAAAAAAGATTATAAATTTGATTATATTTGTTCTTTTTTTTTGGCAAGTTCTTTCAGTGTTGTAAAACACGTTGAAAAAGGACGTATTGAAAAATCGTATACACGTTGCTGAAGTAACTAATATAGAAAAGCCAAACAAAAAGAGAATACACTTTTCTTTAAGCGTTAATTTTTTTTTTTTTTTTTTTTGTGTTTTTAACTTTTAAGCAGCCTAGGCTTTCGTAGAACTACATGCTAAAGTTATATTTTATTATAGTTTATTTTTAAAAAACTTTGCTTGTAGATAAGTTTATGCTTTTTGATACGACCGGGTAACGTAAGGTTTTCTTTATAGGGTTTCTGCTGCGAGACCCACCCAAACACACACACGCATACATACGCGAGAACTCTCACACGCACACAGCGAATTAAAAGTCCGCTTCGTGCTTGATGCGATAACTGGCATAGGTTTCTTCCAGCGGCGCAAAGTCTTGGGTGTGGGGCTGTGTTTAAGTTCCAAAAAGAAAATTGGCACCAGAGTTGTAATATATAGAAATGGTCTTTAGATATAATAGATCAAGAGATAATATTGTGTGCTTCTGTTACTGTAACTATGTCTGTGTTTGGTTTGTGAAGGGGCTTGGTGGCAATATTTACAAGTTTACAAACTCAAAACGATAACGTCTATCGTCTATCGGAAGTTATCGACGCAGTTGCAGCTGCCGACTGACTGTACCCGGGCAAAACGAAGCCCCTGCAGAGTCAGGGCCATGCGTATTATACTATCTTTCATATCATATTAATATATAATATATAATATATAATATATATGTATATAGTTTCTATATAGAGTTATGTGCATATGTAAATTGTTAAAATTGGTTAGTTTTGGGTTAGTAAACTTTCTTGTAATATAATATTTTGTTTTTTGTTTTGTTTTTTTTTTTTGTTGTATTTTAAATTATTGTGTTATTAAGTAGTGAAAATAATAAAAAGTTGTTAAATGTTTTTAATAATAATTAATAATATATTGGCGAGCTATATGGGCCTCTTGCAAAAACGAAGTACTGGAACTTTTACTTATTTTTTCTCTTTTGCATAGTTTTCTTTAGTTGTTGGTACTTTTTACAAATTAAGCAAATTTTTTGCGCTAATTATTGTTGCTCAGTTGCTGTATATTCATTTTTAAGTAATTTACAAGTTGAATGTATTCTATTTTTGTCTCCACAAAGAGAGCACAAAAATAAATAACATGACTTATGTTTTGCATTACTTTGTTTTTTGTTTTTAACTTAAATTTATGGCTCTCATTTTACTGTACAAAAACAGACAAATTCTAACGGCCAAAGCATCAGCAGCAGCAGCAGCACTGGACAGCAGCAGCAGCAGATGCATTTGCAGTACCCAACAGCAGCGCACAGTAGCAACAACAGCAGCAGCAGCATTAGCTGTCAAAGTTTGGTTGGTCAGACCCTGGAATTTGGGCGCCTCAATCGCCTCGCGGCCGCTTGGAAGCTCGTTTGTAGTTGTTGTTGTTGTCAACGTATTGGTGTTGTTGTTGTTCTTGTCGTTGTCGTCGTCGTCATCGTCGTTTGGCCGCTGGCGTTGTGTCCTTGCAGTGGTCGTTGTTTATACGTGGACATTGCTGTTGTTGCTATTGCTATTGCTATTGCTATTGCTATTGTTGTTTTTGTTGTTGTTGTTGCTGTTGTTGTTGATGAAGTTGTTGATATTGTTGCTTTTTGCTTTTTGCTGCTGCAATTGCGCTCGTTAGAAATTTGCGTATTTCTTTCTCATCTATTATTTGCTCTCTTGTACTGTATTTTTTAATTCTCTTGACTAATTTACAATGTGTGTGTGTTCTTGTTCTTGTTCATAATTACGTACAACTTCTTCTGCGTTTTTTGATTGGATTTTATTCATCAATATTATTATTATTGTTATTGTGATCTTCAAATAATCATTGAGATTATTATTTTGCATCATGTTTTGTTGTACTTTTGCAAAATTAATTAATTTTACTTAATTTCTTATGCAGTTTCGCAACATTCTTATATTTGGTTATTATTATTGATTCATTTAATCCCAGGGCATTGTGAGCACCCGCTTCGTTTTTGCAAGAAGGTCGTTATCGTACTACGAACATGGGTGCACCACCGCATTGTAGCTCGCCAATATAGGACCATGTGCTCCCGCGAAGGGGGTACTCACAACGTCTGGTGTACTAGCTCCATCGGTGTGCGATGTTGAATCGGCATTACTTCTTCCTTCACCATTTGCTGAACCTAATTCTGGTGGTTTGGTGGTGTCCCGTTCGTCAATCACTAAATCTATTGGCATTTTACCCTTTAAACATGAGATATATCGATGACAGAAATTATCGCATAGTTCATGCACCTGCAAAGAGAAACCCGCAAATTGCCATAATTGGGGCGGCGAGATAAAAGAGAAAGAGAGAGAATTTTGTGTGAGAAGAGCGACGTTATGACAATTATACAATTATACGTATGAGCAAACATACAAATATATATATAGCTTAAGTATTTATATTATACTAAACTAAAAACAAAATTATAGTCATTTTAAAATAATTCTTCTTACTCTTATTTATAAATACAATAGAGGTAAAAAAAAACTTATAGAACTATCGATAGCATGTATATAATATATCAATATATTATTGTCGATTCGGTAAGTTCACATATACTATCGATAGTGTCCATAGCTTACGTAAATAAATAGTTTGCTAAATAATCTAATCAGGCATTGCAATACGTTTTCGCCTAAGTCATCCCACATTCGGGACTTCATTAGGTATCCTGTTAGTTTATAAAACATTCAACTTGACAGACAGAGACAGCTGCAAACACTTAGCGCCATTGCATTCTTTATGCTAACAGCAACACAACAACACCACTGACAATAACAACAACAACGACAGCAACAACAAAAAAGAAAAAACCTGCTTTGCTCCCGCTGCAAATGGCATGCAAATTGCTTTTCATGCGTTATCCAAGGCCTGGCTCTGGACCCGGACCACGCAAATGGTTGATGATGGCACTCAAAAATGGCGTAGACAACGTCAGCAACAGCAACGGCCACAGCAATGGCAACAGCAACAGCAACCGCTAAGCTTAGAAGGTGTACGCGCTTGCAGGCGATAAAAATGCGAGGCCGGCCACATAAATATGCATAGAGAGCTGACTGGCCAAAAGCGTTGGTCGGAAAGGAAGTGCTGGCCAGCCAAGTTTAGCCGCAGGGCACACTTTTAAGCAAGCAACAGCAACAACAACAACGAGCAGCACGTGCAGCATACAGACGATCGCTGGCGTCAGCAGCAACAGCAGCAGCAAACGGGCCAACAAAATGCGTTTTTAAAGCCCTGCTGTTGTTGTGTTGGCTGGATCCAAAAACTCAGTCCAGTGTGTGCGTGAGTGTGTGAATGATTAAACAAATGCGATAAGGCCAAAGTGAGTGTGAGTCAGGCGGAGCGCATATGCAAATATGCAAAAGGCTGCGCACCAAAGAGGAATGCAGCCGCCGACGCGGCTAAAAAGAAATTAATTGCGCTGGCTCGAGCAGGCAGAGCAGCAGCAACAACAGCAACAACAACAACAAACAGCCCAATAGCAACAGTAACTGCAACAACCAACAGGGTGCTCCATTTTAACGGGCAGGCATTTAATTTACGAAAAAGTGCGCGTTGCTTATGCAAATTGCTTGTTGCTGTGTTCTTGCAACGGCTGCTGCTCTCGTTGCTTTTTTTGGCATACGAAAGCTGCAACAGTTGCTGGCGGGCGGGCTTGCTTGCTGGCTATTAACTTGTTGCCCATTGCCAAAACTTGTCAAACTCGTTTTCAGGCTGCTGTTGTTGCTGCTGATGCTGCCGATGGGGACGCTGCTGCTGCCTGTGTTCAATGTTATTGTCACCAAAAATATGACGTTGATAAAAACTGGCAATATCAACTGGTTTATGACAGGACTCAAATTAGTCGTTGCGGCTCGCTGATAACAGCAGCAGCAACAGCAACATGTTGTCGTATATGTATAGCTGTCAAAGTTGCCACAACAATGCACATAAAGCCCGCAATTAGCACACCAGCAACATGTTGCCAGCGCGCAGTTGCAGTCGCCTGCGTTTAACAACAACAGCAGCACCGCACAACGAAACACAGCAACAAGGCATAAATACTTACTAAATTGATATGTTTATGCGGCTTTATGCTCAGTTGCCTGTCTCGATCCGGGCCGGGACGTGGCCCTTTGTGGCATGTTGCTGCTGCGATGCTTGGACGATGATAATTTTTGATTAATTTGTCAGCGTTGTGTGTGACATTTAAACAGCTCATTGCGATATTTATGACTGCTGGCTGGTGCTATGACTGGCTGTTGCTGCTGCGCATTGGGTGGGCACAGCAGCAACTCACAACTGGGACCCACAGCAGCAGCAGCAAAATTGGTGCCAGCACAGGGGGCGTTGCTTGTTGTAAGCTTTGTAAATGTTGCAGTCATTTGTACATCCTGTTAAGCAAAACTTTTCACAGTCCCATCCTCGCCACATTTTACAGCTTCCTCTACCAGCGATATGATCGCAATGTGTCCGGGCACATAGTTTTGTTGACCCCCCGCCCTAGCCTCCTGTCTTATAACTATTGCACTTTGCCTGCATTCGTTTCTCTCTAATCTAATGTAAATTGCTCCAATCTGCGCAGTGGTAATTTTCGATTTCCGTTCATAGATAGCGTTAAATGTTCTATACAGAGATGACGACTAGACCAGCTCCGACTGAGATTCACACGAAACCGAACAACTGACACAGCCTCCAGTCTCGGTTCCAGCCCCAGCCCCAGTCTCAGTCTCTGTCCCAGTCGAGCAACAAGTTTTTTCTTTTATTTTTTTTTGCATTTTGTTTAACAAGCGTGCGGCAAAAAATATACAACACTGCTGACATTTAAATGAAATGTAATTAAAAAACCCACAACAACAACAAGAATAACAACAATAACAGCACCGGCAGCCGACAAACAGTACAAACTGAATCTAAACTGTAGGCAAAAATAAATATTTTAATTCAGGGAAAAAAATAGATAGAAATGTTATTCGGCTTTGAAATGTAAATGTGGCGAACTGCGAATGCGCTGCGAGCATGGGCAAACAGAAACGTTTACGGATACGCAACAAAATATAATTTCAAAAAGCAATGCAGAATATAATGTTAACTAATGTTAACAGAAACGCTGCAAAAAAAAAACAAACCGAAAGAGCTGAGAGATTCAGAAGGAAAAGGAATTGAGAATGTTGGATAATAGTAACGTTTACGGATGCGATTCAGGGCGAAATTTTAATATAATTGCTAGCGTGTTGAAACACTTTAGTAAAGTATTTAAATTTGAATATGTACTAGTACTAGTATGTATTAAAATAAGCCATTTTTATGTAATTTCTTGCTTTGCATTGGAACAAATCGTGTTCGATTGGAAATACTTTAAGTGTTGGTAAGTTAGTGTAAATGCCAAGCAAATGAAACCCACACATATTTCATTCCTCCCTATTCAAATCTCGAGTCCAGCTTGCAGTATTTCGCTTAGCCGAAAAATAAAATTCAGCTGTTGGTTGTCGTTTTGTGTTGTAGCACCAAACTGGCCGAGCCATCAAAACAAGGCCCCCAATTCGGTGTTGTGCTGCGCATACGTAGTGGTATTGGATGTAGTTGTAGTAGTTGAAGTGCCCCAATGCCGGTGCCGGTACCGGTACGACCGCCAAGCTGTGACTGCTTACCCCCTGCCGGGGTGTGTGCAACTGACCCGACGTGTGTTGTGTGTCTGTCCATTTGTCCGTCAGTCGGTCGGTCTGTCGGTCTGCTGTGGCACTGTCCCACTGTCCGTTTGTCAATTGCAATGCGCCGTCGTCGTTGAGTGTTTTTTTTTTGTGTTCAGCTTTTTTTTTGCATGTGACTCTGTGACGAGAATTGTCCGTGCTGGATGGGAACTGAGGACTGGGCAAATGGGGCTGGCAAACCAGTTTTGACAGACACAAGTCTTGAAGCGTCTTTTTAACTGATTCTGTGTGTTGTTTTTAGCAGCAGCAACAAATATGCACAGATACAGATACAATATATACATTATATGTATATATATAAATATATATAGACGCTTTTTGCCAGTCAGCCCGCACATTTTATTTAAGTATTATATATTTATTTTTTCTTTTTGTATTTTTTTTTACTTTATACACCAAAATCGCCCGCTGCATTTTGTTGGCTGCATATAAATGAATTGTATTTTTGTTGCTGTTGCTGTTGTTGTTGTACAAGTTGCTACAGTTCTTTGCGCCGATTGTTGGTTGTTGCCGTTGCCGATTGTTGGTTTGTCGTGGTTCGTGTTTGTCGCAAGCTGTGTGAGTGACAAATGACAAAAAAAAAACCTGTCGTGGGCTGTGTGCTCTGTGCTGTGTGATGATGATAAAGATCTCGTTCGCTTCACTACTCCTCTGTTTGTAATACAGGGTGCCACTTGTAACAAATTGCAGCTGGCTGACTGACTAAATGACTGAATGAGAATGATCAGCCAACTGACTGACTGACTGACTGACTGACTGACTGACTGACTGACTTGATTGACTGACTTGACTTACTGCACTACTTTCAATAGAAAGCGCTTTATGCAGTTGGTAATTAAGATTGGCCAACGCTAATTGCACATTGATTGACTTTTGTTGTTGGTATTTGTCATTGTCGGCATTTTGTCATTAGCCCAATACCAGGGAGTCCCAGTTCCAGTCGCAGTCCGAAGACAACTGTAAATGACTTCTGGGGGCCTACACAGCATGTCTGGAGACCCGAGAGCTGCCCAAATGGCTCAGCTTCGTATTCTTATAACGTTTGCCATGCGTTCTGATTGTTGGTTTTATAATGTTTTGCATAATTTCTTACTTAAGACTTAATTGAAAAACACAAAAAAACAAACAAAAAAAAACAGATGACTGGCTTAGCTCAAAGCCCGGCTCCGCTTCGTTTTGGGCTTCAGTTTTAACTTCGGCTTCGGTTTCAGTTTCGGTTTTGGTTCCCGGCCCAACGGTCGACCCTCCACGCTTCGCTGCGCATTTGCCTAATTAATTTTCTTGGCACAACAGCAGCAGCAACAGCAGTGGACAGTGAACAAGGGGCGGGGGCAGGGCCCAGGCATTAATTACGACCACGTTGAGGAACAACTTCCATTAAGACAGCCGCCGCACACACACGCACCCAAGCTAGTCAAGCTCTTGCATATTATTTGAAATTAAAACAAATTAGGCAACCTGTAATTTTTCCATTTAGATTATAAAGTGTCCAATAATAAAGTAGGTGTTGCTAGTTGCTGCATTCCCAAAATTATTTATGCGCGTCTAGGGCTGTTCAGACAGACAAAGAGAGAATGAGAGGGATGGAGGCATCCACACCTCATGAATTAACAACAAAGCAGCCGAAAATAAATGCGTTCCATTGTGCGATGCTCAATGCAAATATCGTGGGCTTTTGAGCACCATCCGCCCCACCGAGCTGCTGTTGTTGTGGTTAGTATCTTGGGCAAACACCTGCGCTGAGCTGTTTGCAACCCCGCCAGGTCAGCAAATATTTGTCCCCCGCTCGCTCCTATCTCGTTTTGTTAATGCTATGTCACATCCTGTCGGTCTGCATATTTCTGTATTTATCTCTATCTAAAGCTATGCAAGCGGCTTTCATGCTACAATTTTGATTGGCAATTAATGCTGTTTTGGCCACGGCGAGCTGCACGGCCAGCTTCACAGTTGTTGCAGTCGTTGTCAATGCTGTTGCTGCTGCTGTTGTGCTTTAATTTAGACATTTGCAAGAGAGATATGACCGCCTGCTGTGTATGCCTGTGCCTGCCTGTGTTTGTGTGTGTATGTGTTTCTGTCACCAATTGGAGCCTGCCTACAAGCTCAATAAAATGTCAACACAAATGTTGGCAATTGAAATACCCGATAGTTGCTAACTTTGTTTCTGAAATACCCTCTAAACAAAACACACTTGGAAATGGGTATACCTAAGCTGAGCATATATATATAGATACCTTTTACATGTCTACGTTACATTCATTCAATATACTCAACTCATCCTTCCGTCTATCTGTCTATAAGCCTATAAGCATGTCGATCTCAGTGACTACATGAGACTTAGATTACCATGCGCAGTTATCATTGCCACATTAAGTTTATGACCTATCTTTTACTGTAGGGTATCTACCAGTAATGTATATAGCACTTGGACTTAATTTTTTTGCAATTGATTTATGGGTTTTATGGGTGGTCGTTGGTTAGCTAGCTAGTGATAAATGTTTGCAGCTTGGCTAGCAGTTAATTGCATGACTGCTGAGTTTGCAGCTCTGAGTTGATGATCTACAGCCAGAAGAGTGGCCAAGGAGTGAGCAATAAAAGTGGCACAGATAACTGCCTATGTAGCATGCGTAAAAATCAGTAAACAACTTGTATAAGCTTTACAGTCAATCTGACCACATAGAAATCCGCGCAGCTATAAAGTATGATTTTTATATTTATATATTGCTTAAAAATAAATACTTCATCTATGTTCGAAAACGTATTGCAATATTCCTTTAAGACAAACTAATTCCAAAAAATAAAATTAAATGGTTAATTTAGATTTATATAGTATGTATTTATATTAATGGTTACTTACTTTTTCTAACTCTAAAAGGTGAAACCGAAGCACTTGTATTGCTTGCACCATCTGCAAAGAAAGAGGGGCGAGAAAGAGAGAGAGAAAGAACAAACATGAGTTATGCATATCACAAATGATAATAAAATTCGTAGCTATAAAAATTGCCTCCAAACAAATCGTTTGACGCCCCAGAACCACACACACCATAGTACACTCACACACACACACACACACACACACATGAATCGCAAGAGCGCCAACTGTTAGGGTGACCAGATGCTAATTAAAACGTCAGTTTGACATTTGACATTTTTACGAGGCTGCTAACTGGTGTGGCCGCTGCTGTTGCAGCCACTGTTACTGCTGCTGCTGCCGCTTTTGTTGTTGCAGCAGCTGGTGCCGGCAAAAAACTTTAAAGAATTTCATTTAATGCCAAGCCGCGGCCAACTGAACCGCATAGTAAAATAATAACATAGAGAAAACATGCTATAAACATTTTTATAGCACATCCACATAAGAGTGTTTGTGTGTGCATGCGTGTGTGCGTAAATATCTAAAGCACAAAACCGCCAAGACTTTTTTTTTAAGTAAGTGTTACTAAATGCACTTTTAAATGTTCAAACATGAACTTTGTGGTGCTGGGAGGAGAAGCGGTGGTTACTCAGTCCACCACCAGCAGCAGCAGCACCGCAGAGTGGTGGCATGCCAAAATGATTTATGGCCAAACTAAGCAGGCACACGGCCACGGCCAGAGCCATAGCCATAGCCGATCAGTGTAGACCAAGATACTCAAACCCAGGTCCGGGTGCCAGCTGCTTGTGCCTGTGTGTATTGCCTGTTGCTGCATGTTGGGCCCGGGCTGGCATTCAGTGAGTTTGTACTACAACTAATAAACTAATCTGCAAGTGCATAAAATTAGGGCCACCGCCAGAGATTTCTCTGCTGCGGCTGCTGATGCTGTTGCTGCTGCTGTTGCTGGCGACTAATACGCCATAAAAGCAGCGACATTAAACGCCGGCAACAGCAGCAGCAGCATCATCTCTGTTGCTCTACGTGAGTGAGTGACACATTTACGACTAAGCAGAGGCCGCTGTCGAGTGGTACGAACGCAGTCGCAATTAAAATTAGTTTTGCCCCTTAATCTCTTTATATGCAACAGCAACAACAGGAGCAGCAACTGTTGACGCGATTTGCGCAGCCCAATTGCATGGCTCGTTTTGCACTTTTTGCACGCAGCATTTCCGTCTTGATTTACATGGGCTCCAAAATTGCCTGGAAATTCGCTGGACTCAAACTGAGAGGCTGTAACGACATTCTGACTCATGTGTTGCTATGCGCCAGGAAATGCAGATGCATGTTGTACATAGTGATAAAATATATTTCAGTTGGATAAGCTAGCACATGCATAGTTTTTTTTAAGCATAAGATATGATCTGATTGATCATTAATAGAAATTGGCATAATTCACAGACTTGTGCACTTGTTGCCCTACAACGACAGCTGATCAACATGATCATCATTGTAGCTAGCAACAACAACATCACGCCATGATCGCCGTCAAGGTTGCCTTGATGGCATTTGCCTTTGCGTTGGGGCTCTGACTCTGACTGCCCAGATCTGAATGCACTTAACTAACCCACGAGCACGACGACGACTTTATTGTTGTTGCTGTGCTGTTGCTGTTGTTGCCGTCGTCTTTTGCACACCCAAAGGCTGCCCATTTAGAGAGTGCAAAAATGTCATATGCATCATTAAATCGTTCTGCTTCATATTGTAGTCGACGTCAAGCATCGGTCGTTGGTCGTTGCTTGTCTCCCCTTTGCCGTGCCCGAGCCTCAGCCCATTTGGATTCCCATCCCCATCCTGAAGCGAGGGCTACAGTAGCAGCCGCAGCTGCATCAGCAGCAACATGCAGAAATCAAAATGCGTGTCAGAGAAAAGTATGGCAACGCTGTCCAATAAAATGACTAAACAACTTAGTCCGCCGCCAGTGAATGACAGCGCTGACGCTATGGATGTCGATGCGGACTTGGACTTTGACGTTGCTTGATGCAAGTGAACAAACAAATGCTCATAAATTGCTTTGGCTGCTGCTAAATTTGCTGTGATTTATTCTAAATAAAAGAAAATTATGCAATTGTTGTCATTGTTTTGGGTCAAGGTGATCGCACGGACACACACACACACACACACAGACACACACACTTGGCTAGGCCGTGATCTTTTGGCTTGTTGCTGCAACATAGTTGCCGGGCTTTTGTTTGCTTACCAGTGAATCGACTTCGGGATCTGCGGTATAGTAGGGTTTCTGTGATCTTATCTGAAATGAGAGACAAAGAGGGAGAAAGAGAAGGAATAAGTATAAAAAAAAACACTTTGTATACTAGTTTCAAATCGTTGCAAATATGCATAAGCAGTAGCAGCTGTTGCTGCTGGTCTGGTGCTGGTCTGCTGCTGTAACCGCTGATGTTTCTGCTGCTGTGCGGAATCTTGACGAACGCAGGCAGGTGGTAACTGCAGCTCCGAGCCACTCCGTGACTAGGTCGCCAATGTTTACTGTTGTCCGTTGTCCGTTGCCTGTGTCGCCGCAGTTTTATGATGCCAGCTCACAGTCCAAGCGATAAGCGCTCAGCAAGCAAATATAAACCAGGCGGCAGCAACAGCAACAGCAACAACAAATAGATGGTTACCAAAACCCAGCATGGGAAACGCAACATTTGCGTAAAATTTGCTGTTGCTGTTGTTGCTCATCAGAGCAGAGGTGACTCGATGACTCGCTGTGACCATAAAAGCGATTCTCGTTTTTTTATTTTTATTGCAAAAGGCAACAGAAATAAACCACACACTTAGATAAAAATCACAAAAGCAATATGTGGCTAGATAAAAAAAATGGCCACACAGACCGCGACCGACCAAAATGCGACAGAAGGTCAAATAAATGCTGCGAATTATTTGTTGATTTTATTATTGTTGCTGTTGTTGCTGTTGCTATTAGTGAAGATTGCTGTTCGGTTCATAGCGATTTGTTGGCTCTCACGGAACAACATGGCCTGCCCCATGTGAGATCTGTGAGACCAGTTCGGGTCGTTCTTCAATAGATATATAGATAAACAGCAAGCACATAAAAAAGAGCTACACCCGCTGCGAAATTTTATACCGACGCAGATCTTAAGTCGACCTTGTACTTGCGTTCATTTTTGTCTGCTTTTGGCTTGTCAATAGACCACCCAGTTAAAAAAAAACTATGAAAGGCTGCACTGCATGCGGTCCTACAGAGACAGAGATCAGATAATAGATTGGAAGTCAGATGTATAGATAAAAAAAACTGCAATGATCTGTAAAAGATAACTGTTATCTGCTTAAACTGCGAACTCTAGAAAAAGTTCACGTTAAAGAGGCACAAACTCATTTACTAGATTTAAACTGAGGCTCAAACTATCTATCTTATCGAAGTAGACCGAAATGTTAACCTACTTCAATTTGATATCCATGAAATACATAAAAAGCAATTCCAAGCTATCCTTAAGCTCTAATGATCCACATATGCGGCATCTTTCAGCTGGCAAATCTCTCTCCAAGACACGCCATACTGGACCATACTTGAGTATCGTAACGGCAATTTGGATCAACTGAGGCATAGACGACTAATAATTATGTTGCGCACTCGCACATCGAGCGGCAGATCGGATCGGTAAGGAGTTCAAGTCCAAGTCGGACTCATTGGCCAGACATCTGCAGATATGTGGGTACCAGGCAACAATGAAGCATGAGAAAAACGCCCCATTGTGAAGCAAACAGAACAACAATTACAACTACAACAACACCACAAAAACAGAAACAACAATAACTGATACAAGCCACAGCCATTGAAGAGAGTATGAAAACGTAGCAAAAGTTGCGTGTGGAGAGTTGTGCCAAAGTTGTTGCCAGTTGGCTTTAATGTTGCATTTTCAAATGCTGGTTGGTCGCTGGCGTTGCACACACACATACACGAGCACAAAAGCACTCATACACACATACATATATATTAAGGTACGTGTAGAAGTTGTCAAACTGGTTTGCATGATAACTCTCCGTTTGGATGGCTGACTTGCGACCAGGTCGCGCTTTTGCTTTAGCTGATATGAAAAGCACGAGGGTCGACGGTTTCTTTATTTAGGGGAGACATCGGGGAACTGAGGAACTGGGGAACTGGCATATTGCACACACGCACTTCTCCTGCTCCGAGTTAGTCTCAGCTAAATCAAAATGGCTGCCAGCAGCTCTCCTCCGAGAGGTTCTCAGCTGCTCTCAGTGGTAACTACAAGCCCAAGCCGAAGCCTAAACCCAATGATAAGCGCTGGCCCAATGAGCAAATGAAATGCTGTTGTCTGCGATGCGGTTTTAAAAATATATAAATCATTGGCAACAAGCGAATACACAGCATGAGACAAGTCTATAAATAAGCCGAGACAGCGAGTCAGCAGCGGGCGTGAAAATAACATCAACATGAAATGAAAATCAAAATGAAAATTGAAATGAAAAGCAAAAGGAAAATTCTATACACTGCGCCCAGTCGAGAACATTTTGTCACCACCGCCGCGTGGGCGTCTGCAGCTGACAATTTCATATTTATAGCCAACGCAAAGAAGCGTATTTTCAATTTCCAAGTAGTGTCCAATGCGGAAACCCCAAAAAGCCATACACACACCCGAAGACCCCAACACCCAAACATACCAACACATTCTCACACACGCACTTTAAAAATAAAATAGAAAATTGCGTGTCATGTCGCCCATGGGCTGTCCGAGTTCTTGACTTCTTCCCAACACACATTCTAATCAGTTTCACATGGGCAGCTCATAAATTTCGCAAGCAACGGCGACAAAATAAAATCACTACTGTTTAGATACTGCTCTTCAAGCGTTTTTATGATGCCCCCATAAATGCAATTATACAACCGACAGCTACAGCTACAGCTACAGCCACAGGCACACCACAATGTACCTGAATGGAGGGGTCTGGGTTTCGGTTCGGGTTCCGGTGGGGTTTTTGTTTTGTTTTTGGTTTTAGATTGTCTCGCAGGGTACCGCCCCGAAAGATACACAAACACTGTAGCAAGATCGGACCCGCGCGTAGGTGCCATAAATTGTATGGCATTTTCAAATCAAATTCATTTCATCAACCTGGCCACGTGCTATTACCCAAAGGCAGCAAGAATCACGTTATAAAAGCCAAAGTAAATAATATACATGCGTATTTACAAACACCAATATATACTTGGAATTATGATTCAATCAGAACTGCTTTTAATTTCTCACATGATAAATTTATAGAAATTTGAGCCACTAAAAACCGAAATAAAAATCGAAACGCAATCCACAAAAGAGCTCAAGTCTATAAAACGCCTCAAATGTTGTCCATGTTTGTATGTGTGTTGGCGGAGCAGCATTTGTTTTTGCTACGTTTTTATTATGCCAATAGTTAGGCGCTGCTCGTCCGGGTCCGCCCGCGTTTATAGCCCTGGCATTGCGCTGGCCATAAACCTGCGCGCAGTGGCGGAGAAAGAGGACGTCAGCGCAGAGGCGGGCGCAGTGTGCAAGTGTATAGCGAAGTCTTGAGCACTTGAGTAATGGCCATAAAGCGCGCCCAGCAAATGGCCATAAAGCAATTTATGCACCCGGCCATGTCGACTTTTGGAATCAGCGTGCACAGTAGCCAAAGAGCCGGACAGCGAGCGATCAGAAGCGCAAAGCTCCAAACCCCAAGCACTTGAGAAACTGCAGTGATAACAGCCGCAGACGCATCGTCATCGACTCTGCAAAAGCAACAAATGCTCGTGAGCTGGAACTAGTTCATATGAACTGACAGAATTGTGGCACAACGCACGTTTCTCTTATTAGCTTATCTAAGCTAATGGTTTCTGTTTGTATGTGCGTGTTTGTTTGTTTTATGTGTGTGTGTATTTGTATGTGTGTGGAGATCTGCAGTTCGGCTATGTGGCGCCTAAATTGCTGCACGTAGCTACATTAATTTTCTTATTACTTTTGTATTTGGCTGCGTGCTACGGCGCCGGACTCGGCCCTAGTTCCCTGCCCCCAGCGGCCGCATGCGGGCTGCTATCATAAACAAACGCAAGACAAACGAATTAGCCGAGCAACAACAATAACAACTATAAAAACAAACAACCGCAACAGCAACTACACAACTTTTTGCCGAATTACCGTGCATAGCTTTGCGTTAAGAGACGCTGTCGAAACGTTATCGAGGGTTATATTTATTTATTTATATATATATATATATATATATATATAATCTATTATTTCGACCACTGGAAGAGATATATATATATATATATATATATATATATATATATATATATATCTCTTCCAGTGGTCGAAATAATAGATTTTTATCCTAAATAATAATCTTTCTATAGCATCTTAAATCTTCATTACTTAGTTGTAGGTTAAGTGTTTCTGTATACATATATGTACATAAACATAATTTATTTAGGATTAAACTCTTATGCATAGTCATATTAATTTTAAATAGAAGCTAGGCTGCGATCCTATAATATTATCCTATAGTCAAAGTATCGAAGCCTCTGTGGATCGTCAAATACCTATAGTTTTATTTAGGTAATGCAGCTTACACAACACTTCGGAATTTTGGTGATTTATTAAGTGCTTTTTGAAGCAGTCTTCAATTAAGTTGGGCACTGTTTTAAAAATAAGCTTCTGCATGTGTCAATCACACCGATGTAAGTGACTTTAAAGAGCCGTCAAAGCTAGGTACATCTGTTGCCCTGCGTCGTGTGCCATTATTCGAAAAAACATCTGTTTCCAAAATCATTCACTTGAAAAATGCAGTTACCTCAGCCATGTAACTAAAGACCCCAGAAAAACTATCAAATTTCTCACACCTACACACAGAGTGAACAACAATCGGCAACAGTTACAACAAATAGCCGCAGTTAAGTACCTAAAAGCTTGCACAACGGCAAAGCACCGTCCCACCTTCCCCTTCGAACAGGCAAGCACCTCTGGCTCCAGTTCGAGTTGCAGTTCCCATCCCAACACACTCGCCCACAGCACACAAAGCTGAACAATAATTTTGTTGTAATGCAATACCAAAAATTGTATTTGCTTAGCTGATGACGTTACGTTGTGGCATTGCTGATGATGTTGATAATCATGCGAATGATAATGACGATTATAATGATAATGTCATTGTAGTGCTTGTTTAATATCGCTGATTACCCTTAACCGACATTAACAGCAAGAAACCAAACCAAATCAACAAAAACCCAAAACAAAACAAATCATAAACATAAGCATAAACCCTACCCATACCCATACCCATACCCATACCCATACCCAAATCCAAACCCGAACGTGAAATGTGTAACGCGCCCGATCTGGCAGAGCCATCGTTTTTATCTTTATAATGTGCCCACAATATCGGTAGTAAAAACTACAACAAAATGCGACAATTGAGGTGACTATGCGAGTGCGAGTGGCAGAGTAAAAGCTACGCGTGGTTCCATAATGGGATAGTTCCACATGCGGCGCGCCTCGACTGATTTACTTTTTTTATGATACCTTCATGTTTATAAACGCACTTGCATCTGTATCTGTAGCTGTATCTGTATCTCTCTATTGCTGTATCTGTTTTTGTTTCTGTAAGTGTGTCTATGTGCCGAAGACACTTGGCCACCTTTTACGACCCAAAACATACGACGCACTGAGGTAGCTGCCGCTGTCGCTGCCGCTGCCGATGCCGCTGCCGGCACTGATACTTTTAACAATCTGGCGTAGAAGCTCGTAAACATTAGCAACATTCTGAATGTCAATATTTGCATTGGAATGTTACAGCCAAAAGCAGCAGTAACAACAACAACAACAGCGGCATGTTATAGAGATTTGTGTGTTGCTTTCGTTGACTACTTGTGGCGCATATCAATGGTACCTGTGCCTAATGGATCACTCTCGTCATGCCAAAGGCGTCTTGCCCCGGGCCTGGACAAACATCCGGCGTTCGGGTGCTGATAAGAGCACAAAAATGCAAAGTAAAGATACTACAGATGCGTGTGTCAATAATCCGAGATTGATCGCCTAAAACATACCCTGTGTGCCTTAAATTATGAAATATTAAATATGTAAATTTTTTTTAACATTTATAGGACTCGATTCTTAATTTGTTACAAATATTTGTAAATGAATCTCAGAAGGGTAATTAGTGATTATCGGTTGGCAAAAACGAACTGAGTATTCTTAATTTTTATCTATATACTTTGTATACTTGGAAATATTTAAATACTAAAGGAATATATGTTTGCAATAGTAGGAACGGCCCTTTATACCTCATATATCATCATTTACATGCAGGGTATATGTGCCATCGATTGTCAACACTCATTGGCCAATTTGTCAAGGCACCATCTCGACGCTTCTTTGATTTTAATTGAAAGCGTTTAGCGCACGTCTAGTCCGCGAGTGCGGGACATAAATCATGGGGGCTCATAAGTAACGGCACATAAATAAAGGCGCAACGAAAGACTCGTATCGGAATGAAATACTTGAGATGCTTAGAGACCTAAATGATAATAGGCACATGAGTAATAAAATGCTGCACGGCTTCTGCCTTTCGAAATAAATAGTTTTGTGTAACTAAATTGGACTTGGCTGGCATTTGACTAAGTTTTCACCTATTCAAATGTTCTATATAGCTCTATTCTTGGGTATATCTGTGGCTAAATGTGCATAAATAACGAGAATCTCTATCTATCCTTCTATTATTCTCCGTTTGCTGTCTACATTCCAAAACCAGCCAGAGGGCCAATCTAATGGGTTACGGCCTGTATTTGATGAACGTATTAGGGACTAAGTAATGCGGCACTCACACAGCGATAATGTATCTACGAAATGCAGCATGCACCATTTCATATCGTATATAGAGCTGTTAAAAAGGGTCAAACTACTGTACAAATATTGAAAGTCATCAGCTATGCAGACGATTCGTCTAACGACCCCGACCAAATGCGCGCACAATCTAAACACACACACACACACGCACCACTTATAGGGATATATTTAAGAAGCAGCAAACTAAATAATAACATTTAAAAGGCGCCAAGTGGTTTCATAAACAAATATTTGAATAGAAAAAATTCGGAATTCGTTGCCCGCTTCTGACGAGCCAACTGGCAACGGGCAACTGGCGGCGCTGAAAGCACAACGCAAATTGAGAAAAATTCAAGTGTAATCAAAAATGCGGTTGCAGCTGTAAGCTGAAGTGAAGCAAAGTAAATATACGCTGCTCGGGTAGGTGGGTAGGTGGTTCTCTGGCAGCCTGTGCCAAATCAATTCACGCTGTGCAAATGGCAGGCTGCGTCGCAGCTTCGGGTTCGGCGGTGCCTCATCCTGGCAACAGTTGCGGCTGCGCAATCCGTATCTCAAACGGGACAATGTGGCTGCTCTTTTGGCAGTTTAATTCTTTTTTTCTGGGCTAACAAGTTGGGCCTGATTGTATGTAGCTGCGCCTTTGTTCGCCAAGAAATTCAAAACCAAAAACCCACTGGCTCTAAGGGTTGCACGAGCAAATAAAAGAACAATGCTTTAATAATATAACTGCGCATAGCTAAAAGACAGAGAGGAAGAGAGAGTGAGAAGGCAGAGCAGCAGAGATTAAAAAGGTACCAATACCAGATTCCAAATAAAAAGGCATAGGTTTCTGTATTTTTTATCATTAAAAGAACAAAAACAACGGCCTCGCCAAAGCAGAGCCAACTCCGACGGCGACTCCGGTTCCGACTGAGGCAGTAGGGAATATTGCACAAAGGAGATTAAGTTCCTTTCAGCAAACGAGACGGACAGAGAGACACACGCAAATGCGTAGAAATGCAGGCACAATTCCAGCAGTGCCATAGCCCAGCAAGATCCAAGTGAGCATTCCAATCCTGCCTGCCTCTTGCCTCCTGCCTGCCTGCTGCCTGCCTGCTGCCTGCCTGCTGGCTGCCGGCCTGCTGCTCTCTGACAATACACAACTGCGCAAGCGTAACCTTTCATACCTGATTATGGGATCACTATGGAAAAATGTATGTGTGCGAGCGTATGTGTGTGAGTATCTTTCTTTTTGTTTCGTTTCGTTTAAAATCAGAAAATGCAATTTACGAAAACAAAACAGAATGTTGGGAAAAGTAAGTCCGGGAACGGGGCACATTAAATTGCTTTTGTAGAAACGTTGCCCAGCCATAGGCCAAGACATTGATTGGTATTAACGCTTAACCTGTTCGGGTTTCTCTGTAATTCTTTAGCGAGGGGCTAGCTACCTGCCTATTGCTAATCCAGAGACACATCCAGAGGCGTTGCTTCCCAACTTCTTTGGGCTAGTTAGTGAGTTATTGTGGCTCTAGTAGAAAGTTGCCCAGCTCGGGCAGTGTCAATGTTGTGACAGATGTAGCTATAGTCTTTACCATAAGTATAGTGTCAAGGACAGTCGCAAGGCTGGCCACATTGTGGCGCTGAGCAGAGACTAAAACAACACGATACACAACAGACAACAGCTTCATGTTGTTCATATGGAAAACAGCAACAGCAAACGAGACGCGGGCCTGCCGCAGAAATTCAAAATATCATCAGCATCAGCAGGCAGCATCATCATCATTTTACCCGCACTTCATTAATCATCATGCCAAAACAGACAGCCGCCACCATAGTGCGGTAGTATGTGTGTGTGAATGTATATGTGTGTGTAGAAGAGACAACTACTTAGAAGCAGACGCAGGCACTGCTGCACGCATGGTTGCAATCTGCAACTACAATCCGAACAACAAATAGAGAGGATCAGCAACAACAACGAGACAATGGAGCCGCGTTGTCAACGCCAAAAAATCAACTCGTCGCATGTACAAACTATTAGCCAAAACGCCAAAAGTTGTCAGTCCGTCTGGTGGGAAGGCAAAAGCTACTTGCAACGCCTGGCCTTTGTGACGACTGATTTTCATTAAAAATTACTTAAAATGAAATCATAAAAATTATTTGGGCAATCAGCATGGGGGCTGACTTTAGGGGTTCTTTGTCTTTGGCACTGATAGACAGAGAGCGAGAGTGAGACGGAAGGAGGCAAACCATTGGAGACAAAGGCTGCAGCACATTAAGCAATTTTTGTATGGGGAGAAATCAGCAGCAGCAACAACAACAGTAACAACAACAACACTCATGCAGACAGACATACGACGCGTCGCTTGGGGAGCAACAACATCTTCAGCTTTTGTTGCTTATTTATAAAGTACACATGTATATATATATATATATATATAGTTGCAGATATATTTGTATCGGTTTTCTTCAGCTGCTTTTAAAGAGAAATTATAAAGCGTTTCCTTAGCTGCATCATTAGCAGCGCCAACACCAAAAGTCGCCTAAGTATATGCCAAACGATACGAAGAGTGCGACGTTTCAGATTGTGAGATCTCGATCTGGTTCTCGTTCTCGTTCTCATTCTCGTTCCCGATCTGTGGCGTTGGCGTTGGCGCATTTTACGCAGTTGCTTAGTCAAAATGAAGTGACTCTATGTATATACGTACATGCATATACTAACATGGGATGTATCTAGATGCAAACTATCTATATAAAATGCATCGACAGTGGGGCAGCTAAAAAAGTATCGCCACATATTTTTAGCGCCCATGTTGGCAGTCGAGTCGAGTCGAGTCGACTGGGCCCTGACTCTCTCTGCGCTGCTCAGCTCTGCTCGTTTGTTAAAATTCGATGGGCGAATGACATTTTTGAGTTATTTTTGTCAGCCTAAGACGGCAACAGACAACAACGACCCCAAAGCAGCATCAATTTAGTAGCGAGCTAAAAAAGAAATGAATTCAAATCGAATCACATGAAATGCAAGCGACAACTTAGTTGTTGATGGTGTCTTTATCTGTATCTGTGCATCTCTATCTATGTATCTCTATCTCTGTGTGCGAGTGTGCGTCTACTGACGTAGTGCCTGCTGCTTGTTGTGGATCATTCACAAAGCAAAGTGCGAAGTAATGTTCTGCTATGAGGGTGTCAACTAAAAGTCTGCATTCGAAGTCACGCGTTATGCCAACGCAAGTGAGAGATACCAATTATTATAGTTTCAGATCTTCAGATTGTCGAAGATTTTATATATGAAATAAAGAGAACATATAGGTTGTTATTCTATTTCATATCATTAGTACTTAAGTCTAGGAGAACACTCATTCCAATCTGAAATTTGTTAACTTCATTGACATTTCATTGTCAATTTGACAAAAGTTCATCAAAATCTCGCCAGGAATATCAAAAACAACAAATCATTGTGGCTAACAACAACAACAACAAAAACAACACCTTGCCAGGAAAGGACCAAAAACGTATCTTGATAAATGTGGATGCTGCCGTTGTTGCTGTTGATTTTATTACCCATGGCAGGCCTGTCAAAATTACAAATGGACCATAAATAAAAACATCATTTTTTGCGCACAAAATCCAACTGGCCAGCAACAACAACAAAAGTGGGTGTCTCTTGCTGTTATTGTTATTTTTATTATTATTTTTCTCATATCCTTTTTTTTTCCTTATTTGGAGCGCCAAAACTGTCACCGACATGAAAATCTCTAGATGGAGCCATAAGTCTCGCTCGTATCTCGCCCGCCCTCGGAGTGAACGTCTGTTTGTTAATGTGATCTCGTTCATAAAAATAGCAGCGCGCAGATAACTTGAGGCCAGGATGTAGCTGCAGGGGTAGCTGCCACAAACAGACATAAACGACTTGCAACATTATAATTTGTATGTTAAAACATCGTAAATTACTTAAATGTCACTCCGTCGAAGTATAAGCTCAGCTTTTGGGCAGCCGTCGGGGGAAGTGTCAATTGTGGCAACGCATATTTGTGACATATGGCAAGCCGAAGCGAACTGTAGTTAAGTGCAGTCCCTCAAGAGAGAGCCAAGGGGGACGGCCAGAGTATAAAAGAGAGAGAGACTGCTACGTAATTCGATCATTTAACGGTTTGCTTCGTTAGACTCGTGTGCCGCGATTTGGTGAACAGGCTCTCGACTCTCGGCTCTGCTGCATGTGCCGCATGTGGCACATGTGGCAGCGAGCGCAACGAGCACAGCTCCAATTACTCCCAAAAGAACACGGAAACAAGAGTGGAGATGATATCATCATCATCTCTTCTGTTCGCTTACCTGTTTACTGAACATTGCAATATCCTCGTTAAACGATTCCGATGAACAAACATCGCCACCTTGCACGCCAGGCTCCCTCGGCGTACATGTGGCCAATTCGCATTTCTCGAATATTAGCGCCAAGAGCGGGAATAGCGGATGTCTGCAATAGAAAGAGACAGGACGACAAATTAATAAACTGAAATTTAAATCTTAAAAGACAGAATTAGAATAATCCCAGGCAAAAAATCATGATTTGTGCTGATTTAAGAATTGCTTTAAGTTAATAGCTATATGAAAACAAAACAAGAGTTTAGCATATTTTTTGTCAGTGTTTGCCTGTTTTTTAACTATTTCCTGCCTTGAACCTGCCATGCAAATGAGTAGCAGCTGTTTCGTTTCAGTAAAAAGAGAGAGGGATAGAGAGAGAAAAAACCGTCCACATCTACATATAATCCCTCCGTTTGAGACCTGGCCCTACATTTTGACGGATTAGTTCAGCAACTATGCATGATTTGACCATTTTTTGTTGTTCTCTTTTTTAATTTCGTTTTCTTTTTATTGTTGTTAACTGCTCTTCACGCTCCAAACACAAATTGCACCTGAACAAAATTAGGCAAAGAGCGAGTGAACCCTCTGAAACTACGGGGCCGTACCTTGGCCAGCCCAGGCACTTCATTTAGCCATTAGATGGCACAACTGACCATTGACCAACGGTGAGGGTGTAGCCGTGCGCTTAGCAACTATTAATAAACGGACCGTGGCCCGAAACCCCTGAACTCTGCTCGACAACTGCTAATGCGAAGGCCCTTGCGCTTTTTACAGTCCAGTGCGCAGCAGAGTTTCCATTCCCATTCCCCTTCCTACTCCATTTTCAATTCCATTTCCATTCCCATTCCCGCTGGCCAGGATCGACCCAAGCAGCAAAAAAGTGTGCACTCATTTGCCATGACTTGGCATTTGTGACAGGCAGCTGAAGTTGTTCTTGTTGTTGCACTCCACTCGAGAAGGTGTTAAGAGAGTTCTGCGCATGTTCATTTTATTGTAGCGGCTGCTTTTTCATTTCGTTTATTTCTTATTGTTATTATTTTTTTTGCGTCTGGCTGCTGCTTTCAAGGTGTCAATTGTACAAATAAGAAGCGCATTTTCGAGTTTTATTTACAGCAGTGCCAGTGGCAGTGGCAGTTGCAGGTGGCAGAGCCAAGGCCCGAGCCAAAAAGTGTGCTAATGAAGTCATGCCCCATGTTTGCTCACCCACTTGAAGCGCAAACCCAGACGCAGACGAGGACGCGGACGAGGACATCGTCCTAAGCGATGACGAGAACGCTCATCAAACAACCGGCAACCAACAGCTGATTGATGCCAACTCAAACTCAGCTCATTCATAAATTTGCCGGACAAAACAAACAAAAGCCAAATATTTGCTTATTAAAATGCGCAAGAAAAAATGAAGGCTAAAGTCAAACATAATTCAAGCAGCTGTTCCTGGGTATCGCCAGTTGCAGCACATGAAAATTGGCAGTTGTGAAGCTCCTGTGTGCAGGACACGCAACTGCAGAGACGAGAATGACACGAGCAGCGTGTCTTCTGCTTTTGATGAAGTTAGAAAAAAGAAAAAAAGCCGAAACCGCATTTTGGCAACTTAACACCAAGTGGCAGCAGCACCAGCAGCAGGAGGAACAGCAACAACAACAACAACCTGCAGCCCATTTGGAAGGGACTCCCTAATGCCTAAGCACGTTCATGTGCCGTGTCCGACACTAAGCACGCGCCACACCCCCCGATCAGCCGCAACAACCGCAGCCGCAGTCGGAGCGCACAAATTAAAAAAGAAATTTTGTTGCTAAAGGAAACCCATAATTTTGTATTTTGCGCAAAACACAGAAGGTCACGCCCAATTCTACGAGTATACAAAAAAAAAAAAAGAGAAAAACCAAATAAGAGAAAAACATGGCCCTCACTAAGGTTTTTGTTATTATTTTTTTTTTTGTTTCCTTTGCTGAAGGATCGTGGACTTTAAGTCGCGTGTGTGTTAAATTTATGTTACTCCCTCGCCTCGAAATATCTTCTTTTTCGATGACGAGAGGTGCGAACAGGCGGCAACAGGTGGCGGTTCTGCCCAGGGATCGATCGCAACAAATTGGTATTCAATATGTGAGTTTGCTGATCAAAGGGCGAAAATTGATGGCGACCCAAGGTAGGAGGAAGTTGGAAGTTTAGTAAATTAAATAAATGAATTGGACCAAATTCAATTTGCCACTCATCAGACGACAAATCATGCTTATCATGCAGATCGCTGTAGTATAAAAATCGATCCCAAGTGAAGATCACTACATACTACAGTTTCTAGATGGCAACATTAAATAAGATTTGAATTTTCCATGTCAGTCTCACGAAAGATCATTTTTAATGAAGATCGAAATATTAATAAGCCACTTTATCAGCCAGGCGATCGTGTACCTATGTGGAATCTAAAGTTCGATCGATTATATAGTCTTTTCTCGAACTATTAATCGATCGCCCCAATCTAGTACTACGCGTGATCGTGTAAGTTTACCCATAAAATCACTTTGGGCTCGAATTGCTAATCGCTTTGAGTTTCTCGATCGACTTTAATCCAACTTATGAATGAGCGACCATTTTTATGATCTACGCTTATCAGAAAACTGGTTCATTGACAGCTCTCTGTGCTGGGCTGTTCCAATTGATTTGACATGTAGTATTTAACGATTCGGCATCAATTTGAAAAAGTTTAGTAGCAACATTTGGCGTTTACTTACTCATAAATCGCATCCTTATCACGTTTGTGTACCTCTGGTATTGCGCCCATTAGGTGATTAGCAACCGGTGATACATGACTAGGTGTACCATGCGCTCCGGCCCCCGAATGGTAGCCGTGCATCCCAACTGTGGCCGCTGCCGCGGCGTGCGTCATGTGCGGTGAGTGGTGCGAGGGGAGGCCTTGCAGTCCGGGCGGCCGATGGCCGACATGTGGATCATACATCGCCGCGGCCGCGGCGCCAGAGTCCATGCCGTAGCCATGCAGGCCATCGTCATACTGTAAACAAACCAGAGAGTGAGAGAGAGAGAAAGAGAGAGAATATGAGAATTTATACTTATTAGAGATATAATTATATTTATACGATATGTTTCTATGCGTCAGTAAATGCCAGCTACGAATTGTACCTGCATAAATATACGTATATCAATATATCTTTTCTGTAAATATGTCTATCTACATTTAAATTATTTCCAAGCACGTCAACAAAAATTGAAGCCCCCAAAATAAAAGAGGGAAAAAAAACGGTTCGCATTGTGTTTGACCTTGTGATTACTTTAGCTGCGGCATTATATAGATATCTATATGTACATATATACAGATATAAGTATATTTAGCTGATTGCTGTTGTTCTTCTTATTGTTGTTGTCGCTTCTTTTCTTTCAACGTTTTTTGCATATTAATTAAGCGCCAAAATGAGCAGCAACAGCAAAACAGTTAACAGAGAACAGCAAAAAAAAGTAATTTTTAATGTTATCAGTTAATCTGTGTGCGATTGTGTGTGTGAGTGAGCTGGTGCGAGTGTATCTCGCTAGCTCCGTCTCGCTCTCAATTGCAAACTGGTTTCACGTATGCAACAACGGCAACAACTACAAGCAACAACACAAAAATATTTTTTAAAGTTCAACGCGGCTGCTCTCTACCTTCTGTGATTACTGCCTTTTGTGATTGTGATTGCGATTGTTGTTGTTGTTGTTATTCTTGTTGTTGTTGTTGTTTTTGTGTAAGATTTTTATCATTTTTATACTCAAGTGGCGTCGTCGCCGCTTCACACTGCATAATTTTTGGAGCTGAGCATCTGAGGAGCTGGAAAGCTGGAGAGCTGGAAAGCTGAGGCGCAGCAAGTTGACAAGATTTTTGTGCAGCGACAAGAAATGATGGCACTTTTTGCTGCCGAAGTTTTCCCTCGCATTTGTTGTGCCTGTGGTGTGCTTTGTGCCTGTGTGTGTGTGTTGTTATCGGCTTGGAAAAATCTTTGACACTAAATGAGCAATTGACTGAGTGACGCTTGGCGGCTTGGGATTGGCATTGGGCTTGTGATGGGGAGTGTAGTAAGTGGCTGTGATACGAGTAGCTCTTGACTTGGCCAGGATTTGCACCTGACAGTGTGTGTGTGTCTTTATGTGTACGTGTGTGTGTTTGCTTTGAAATGGGTCTATCAATGGCTGACTGTTGCCCCCCACCCTGCATTGCGAGTGCTATTCTCAGGCAGTAGCAGCTGCTGTTGGCAGGTTTTGTGTGGCTGCCACCTGCAAAAAGTACCAAGACCTTTTGTCATTTTAGTCTGCTGGCAATCCTTTAGATACACACAACAGATTAGTTACTGTGCAGCTTTCGGGGCACAAGCACACAAATCGAGTTTTGTTCCGTTTTGCTTTTGTCGCTTTTTATTATATTTGTTGTTTGTTGGTCTTTTTGTCACTCATTCTTGGTGTTGGCGTCTCTGTATGCAGTGCATGCAAGATACAAACTTATAGATACAGCCAGACCGGATCAGTGCCAGACCAGAGAATAAACCAAGCCCGGGCCGGCCGGGGCCAGACCAGGCAGTCGAGCAGTTAAACTATAAAGTTGTTATGCTAATTTTAGTGTTGGTGGCACAGCCAGCGAATGAGCGAATATACAAAGCAGCTCGCGGAGGCAACGTTGTTGCTTTTAGAAATGAGGAAATTGTGGAGCACCAAACAGCTAAACGCCAAACAGCCGAACGGCCAAACAGCTAAGAAAACAAAACAAAGCACAGGCAAAATCACCAACAAAGAGATCTCTGAAAATTACCACAATTTGTACTTGTACATAAGTAATGTGGGAATTGAGCAGCGTTCCCCTGTACTCATTCCCAGTGCCCAAATGAACGGACTTTTGTTACTTTTGTAACTGAACGCGCCAAAAATCGAACAGGCAAACACACTTAAGACCTGGCACTGAAGACTTAAGGCTTTCCCATTTGATTGATGATCATCTGCGGGCTCGAGCCCGAGCCCGAGCCAATGACCTTGTTGAGGCAACGCGGCGCGTCGATTGCTGCAAGCACTGCTCTCAAATACACGCCGCTCCACTACACTCCTTCTCATTCCCTCCTCCTCTCTGGTGAATCAATAACAACAACACAGCCAACAATCAGTGGACGCGAACGGGGACTCGGAATATAACAGCAAACATGACTCTGTTGGTGTTGTCGTCTGATTTTGACAAGTTCAGCGCCGAAATCCTTCAAAAATGTATGTATTTCTGGCCCTCACACACACAATGACAGTGCTGCCCAGGGCTGGGAATGCGGGGGCGACGCTAGCTGTCAGTGACAGGCACAGCAGTTACATAGCCAACAGGACAACAGGACGCATAGCAAGCGAGGACTCAGCGTTCTTGTTGTCTCTATATGTGTGTGTTTGCGTCTGTGTGCGTATTTTTTTCGTGATTGAGAGATATTAAGTCATCGAGCCAAAAATAACAACAACTACAACTTACTCGACTCAATTGTTGGCTTTAAATGCTACAAAATTTTGAGCCGCACTTTAAGCTTGCATTAGGCAGTTTGTTGTGCTCGATGCTATATATAGTTGTGCGCACACATACAAACACACACACACACACACACACACACACACACACACACACACACACACACACACACACACACACACACACACATACACACACACATACACTCAAATGTCAACCTATGGTCGCCAAACCGACCAAAACATTTGCACAAACATTTTTGTCTTTTGAACTTGAAACTGAAAACTGTAGCTAAATACAGTTGCCACAGATGCAGATACAGAAAAAGAAAAAGAGCGAGTGAGAGTGAGAGCGAGACAGAATACGCAGATACAAATAGAGGGGGAGGACGTGAGGTGTACAGTTTAGGCGGCAATCGTTGTGTTTTTGTTGTTTTTAGGGAGTTTATCTAACGGCGCCTAAAACTGACCAGTGCCAGACTGCAAGAATTATAGGTGCGACTGCCTGTGTGCGTGCGTGTGTGTGTGTGGTGACAATGGCCGCCATTTTAGCAAGCCCTTAAACCCTCGACACGTGTCTGTGTCTGTGTGCGTGGGCGTGTGTGTGTGGGTGTTATGTGTGTGCTACATATGCATAAATGTGCTGAACAACTACGAAACGATTGGAGTTGTGCATAAATGTGTTGCCCAGTGTTATTGATTTCTTATTCGGGCAACACTTTTGCTTTTCATTCTTTCACATTCTTAATTGTGCGACGTTGGCCGCCTAATCAAAATTAATTGTTTATCATGTTGTATTTGAGTTTGCTTCGTTTTCTTTTTTAATTCAATTTTTTTGTTTCTTATTTTGCTTGCTTAATTAGCAGACGAGCAGAGCGACCCTGAGATATGCTATTGCCATTGCCTTTAGAACTGGAACTGGAATTGGATGTGAATGTGGAATTGTGGATTTGGTATTGTAGGTGTGTCACAAAGTCGGCCAGAGTTTGGAGTAAGCCGTAGTCCCGAACCCGTAACCCATAGCTGGAGCATTTCATTAAGCTGGGCACACGCCCAGTTTTATTATTTTTTTATTTTCTACTTTTTTGTTTCTTTGCCTTGGGGTCGTTGCTGATGTTTTGTATAGTTTATTTGGTGTTAGACAATTAATTTTTGTTGCGTGCTGCAGCGTTGTTTTAATTTACAGTTGCAGCCACAGTCGATTGGAACACGCTCGCTTTTATTGGTATTATTATTATTACTAATAATAATATTCGGTGCCCTGTGTGGTCTGTCAAACAAAAGGGCTTAGGAAGCAAAATGTAAAACGTATGCTACTAAGAAAAATAATTCATTTTCATTTTTGGCACTCGCTTACTTATTTCTGGAGTTTAAATTGATGTTCAAAAACAAATGCTCAAAGAACAAGTGTATATATATGGCATATATATATTTCAGACGATCGTTAGCTAAATTGAAAGTCGTAGTCGCTACACAAGGCGACAGCAACCAGAAATTCTTGGCATTTTAACATTAATACAAAAAAAAAACAACAAATGACGTCAGTCGGTCATTTATTTAAATAAAAGCAGCTAACAAAATATTTTTTTAAAAAAAACAATATAGACTAGAACAAAGACTAGCACAATTTTCCACGGGCCAAACATACAACTAATCAAAGTCAAAGATAATTAAAATTCGAAGAATTACAGTCGAAGTATCCAAGTACTATATGCATATATTGTTAGCATCAGGTTCAATTCCCTTTCAATTCTATACTTTCTCATGGGCTCCGTAATATTTTTGATAGTTATAAATATATATATATTTAAAAGTCCCATCTAAAAATTAGATTAGTCATTTTGCTTTTACCTAATTTATGTATAAATACGCATGAGAATAAACTAAATACAAATGCACAGACATGTGTATTTGAATATTTCGAATATCGTTAAACATTTGCCGCCTTGTGGCTTTTAGACACTTTATTTCAAGGCACTTTATTTAGTATCTGGAGGTATGTATCTTTTTTAGCTGCGTATCTATATATTGTATTAATTTCTAAATATATATTTAAAAAACAACTTTTAATATTATCTCACATTTTCTATAAATTTTCAACAGCACGCGGCGTCTATTTAATTAAATTGGCTTGGCCCGACAACAACAACAACAACACTAACAAATAGGAAGAAGAAGCTAGCGGAGCTGTGGCAAACTGTGGAGTAGCTGCGTCTGCTTCTGCGTCTGAGTCTGGCATGGCAAAAGTTACTCAAAAATACTAAAATAAATTGCGTGCTGATGGCTCATTTAATTTAATGAGCGGCGTGCAACTTGTCTAAATGATTTTCCACGTCTTTTCGTTGTTTTGCCCCCATGGAAGACCCCAAACATTTTCAGCTTGTATCAGTTAGTTTACAGTACATACATACATACAAACATATATGTATAGATATATTATATCTTTCCCTCATTGTTGTATCCAAGCTCTGCGCTAGAGCGTAAGTCAAAAAGATGTAATGGAATTCACTTAACTTGCCGAAAATTAGTGCTCGCTTAGCGCTAATGCTGGGGGAAATTACATTGTGCGAAATATTTTTAAACAAAATTTTAAAGACGATTTGAGCGCAAATGTAAAAAGAAATGAAACTAATGAAAACACTTCCAACAGCCAAACGGCCTCTTGGCAACAATAGCAACAACTACAAAAACAACGCACCAGGCACCAAACGAGGCACGCAATTTGATCATTAAACATGAAGCTCTTTAGCACACGAAAAACCCAAACACTACCCCTGGAGTCATCGAGTGGAGCTGCAGAGCAGTTCATGTGGTTGGCATCCAATACCTAACCCCCTGAAGACTGTTGTAGGTTCCGTTCCGTTCCTTTCCATTGTAGCTACAATGAGGCCTGCAGCGCTCAATTTTTATGCAGTTTCTGGTATGGCAGTAATAAACATATACATATGCACGCGTAAATTGTATAATTTGTTTATAAATTTTACTTTTAGCTTGTGCAAAGTCCTGAGGAACAAGTTTCCTACGAGCTGGAGATGGGAATAGACCCTATTGAAGTTCCACTTTGCTGTTAAAGACTTTTAAATCTGGCATGACTTATGGGCGACTGTGCTTCTTGATCTTCCACTCACAATTCTTTCTTTGACAGACTATATGAATCATTCCGAGTTAAAAGTTACCAGAACTGAGCTGGCAAATGTCAGATTATCCCCAACTATCCGTTGGTCAGATAACTGTATATACTTGTGCTAGTTATTGCATTAAAAATAGTTTGCTTTTCTTTCATAAATACAATTTCTTAAGGCCCACAGTTTCTTTCTTGTTCGCATAAATTTCTGCTTTTGTTTTTTGAAATATTTCGATAAATGTAATTGATTTAAATGTGGCAACAACTTGAAAATCCCAAATATAATATAAATCATATACACTTTGCATCTGAAAGCTAACTTTTTACTCTGTATTTTATTCTTACTTCTAACATCAAATAATTAAGACATCGCCGAATGTCTTACGGGACCTGCTTAACTTTAATATATTCTTACATTCGATTTTTAATAGATATTTTATAGTTTGATAAAATATAAAAAATGTTTTATTATGGTCTCTAGGCACATAAAGTAGGCGAACTTTTCGAACCTACGGGCGAACGATCTGACTTAGATATAAAAATAAGTCGGCCAACTCTTAAGACTGTAATTTGAAGGGAAACTCGTGCTGCTTGGCACCTAAACCAGACGCCATCGGCGCGATTTGCAACTGAATATAAAATGTGGACTGCTGAAACCCACAAAAGCAAAACAATTTAAGGCCAAATCGAAAAACGGCCGCACATTTAGAGCCCCAGAGCCAAACAAATGGCGAACTGCAACTGCGAGAGGCGAATGTCGAACGGGCTCTCGGACTCGGCCGAATGCCATTTTGTGCTGTGCACTTTTATTTGATTTTTATTATTTTCATTTTCATTTTTATTTTATTTTTATTTATTTTCCGATTTAATTTTCGCTCTCGCGCGCTGAAAACGCGACCAGCACACACTAGACGAATTATATTTTATGCCACAAATTACGCTGCGGTTAACCTTTAAATTAAAATAACACCAAAACAATTTTTGTGTTGAATGTTGCAGCGGGACAGCGGTGCTGAGGAGGGTGTGTATGTGTATGTGTGTGTCTGAGGCAGCTGCACAAATTGCAATTGCCGCTGTTCGCTTTTTGTGATCTTTTTTTTCGTTTTTCATTAACTGCGAGGCATAAAATAATCAAATTATATATAAAAATTGCCTGCTGCCATTTGTTCTTGGTTTTTGTTGTAACGCACAAAAGTGAAAATTATAGTAAAAATAAAGCGAAATGGAATTGTAATTGTAAATAATAAAACCACAGCGTGCTGCCCTCAATGAATGCCTCTTCGCCTGCCTCTGTCCTCTCCAACCTCGCCTCACCTCGCTCGCCAATGTGCAATAAAATTATATGCATCACATCAAGCACACACACACGCAGAGACCACACAGCCAATGAACCTGGGCCGTATGGGCATTTGATGGAATCGGATTCTGAGACTCACCGAAAGAGAGCGAGAATTTCGCGTATTAAACCACAAGAGTAAATTTATGTGCCTGCAGCAACAACAACAACAACAGCTTCAATCCGAACCGATCCCATCCAGACCGAACCGAACGTAACAGTGAAATATTAAAATCACCACAAAAGTCCCGCGGGCAGTTTGTACTGTATTTTTTTTTTATATTCCGTGTCTTTAACTGGCCTTTCCCCAGAGTGCCAGGCCTTACCCATGTAGGACAGTGTCATAACTCTCTGGCATGGCCGGCATATACATAAATACACCTAATGTTAATTACAAACTACGCGCGCACACACACACACACGAATTTACTTATACTTTGATTTGCTCTCGTTTTCTTGTATTTTCTAACGATTTAACGATCCATAGAAATATCAAGTTCGCTTCGCACATATATGTTAATTAGTTCATAAAGTTAAAGTTGGTAAATAGAACACACAAAAAAAACGAAAGAAAAGAGCGCTAAGTAAGTTGGTCAGTCAGCTGATTAGTATTTTTGAAATAGCCAGAAGGGGTTTTCGAAAAATTATAATAATTAAAATTATAATAAAAATTATATAGAGATATATATGAACCATAAAATAAGTTATTTGAAGTAGATCAAGTAAAACAGTAAGCATATATTCAATAAATTGATATTTTAGTTGTAAAACTAAATAAAGTACAAGTTCAAGTTCTAAACTGAGACTAGCTTTAATAATTGGGAATCTGTCGAGTTACCTTTGAACTTCATTTTCGTTAACATTATGTAAACTGGATTTAGTTGAAATATACCCCATACTAGCCGAAGCTAATATTTGAAAATAATAAACAATTGCAGACCTATTATAATTTGTGAATATAAATACATGTGCACACACATTTACATACATATGTATAAAGATTATCAGCTTGATAAAATTCTAGCAATTATAATATTTTTATAGTCTGATATCCCTATAAAACTCTTGTCACGCCACAAGCACTAAATATATGTATATATATGTATATATATGTATATGTATATACATGTCTGTATGAAAGGAACAAAGACGAATGCTGACGGCTTCGAAAGAATACATAATAATTCAACACATAATCGGAGATGGGATCTACATGAGTTCTTTCTGACTGTAATTAACAGAAATTGTCCGAAATTATAGAATTAGCTGTAGAATTTGACAATTGGCAAAAAATCACAATTTCAAAAAATTAACAATTGCCAAATCAAACGACTCTATCCAGCAGCACGAAGAATCCAAGAAACAGCCCCAAGACTACTTCAAGAATTGTCACCAAGAAACTTATCACAAGCACTTTCTATAGTATTATATAATTTCAGGCATAGATTAAATTATTTCACACTAATTCCCCGATCTCAAGAATATCAACAACTCGAATGGAAACCCGAAATGGATGCCTTATGCGAAACGCCGTCGCCTGAAATTGCCGTCGCCAAACGGGAACTTGTGAACATGGAATTTCTGACGCTGAGGCATAAACTTTTGGGATTGGGTTTTTATATTTTGGGTTTTCTATTGATAATTGGTTGGATTGATTTACTTACCCTAGGCTGAGCCATTAATGCTCTGGGAGCGACGTCTAACCCGATTTGTGCCACTTTTAGTGGTGTACAGAGGACAGTTGGCGGCGCAACACAGAATGAGGGGCCCGCGTCCCTTGCGTCCTCGTCCTCCCTGGCGACGTGATGAACTCTATGGAGTAAGATCTGTCAGATCTTGGGGCCTCCTGGTATGCTTGATGCGCTTGGGTTAGTTGTACTTTTTTTTCTCGTGACACTCACAAAAATATTATTAGAATTTGTGTATTTTGAATATTTTCAATTTCTTTCTTTCTCTCTTCTTCTCTTCTCTTTTCTTGATACGTAGTTCTTGCTCTGCTTCTTTCTATGCTTTTGCACTACTGCTTCTTCTTCTTTATTATTTTTTCGGTTTTACACAGGCACATTTGTTAAAATCTTTGCTTTAGATTTGTTTCATTCTTTGCTAAGATTTATGTATTTAATATGTTGTTGTTTTTGTTGCTGGTATACTTTGTTGTTGTAATGACGCGCGCGTTTTTTTATTAGCGGGAGATCTTTTTGTTTTGTATTTTGTATACATACATACATATATAAATGTTTATATAATATTTACATATAATTTCTTGTAGTTATATATTTTTTTTGTTTTTGTTTTGCGGTTTATAAAAATCGTATACAATTTGTTTTCATTGGGGTTGCCGTTGCAGTTGTTGTTGTTGTTCCTTTGTTGTTATATTTTTTATATTTATTGTTGTTCTAAGTATACTGCTGAGCTGGTGTTGTTGTTGTTGTTGCTGCTGCTTGTGTGGGCTAGGCAACATAGTTTGCAGTTGCTGTTGCCTTTTAGCTCTGCTTGTGGGTTGTTGTTGTTGTCATAAATCCATTGCTCGGGCCTTTGCAGCTGCTGCTTCTTCTTCTTCAACTTCTAACTGTTCCTCTTCGACTGTGTTGTTTTGTTGTATATTTGTTTGCTTGTATGTCGTATACTTCTTGCTTCGTATAATATGCGCACTATTTATCACAGCTGCTTCTACATACTATAATATACTACGAAAAACCAAAAGCTTGTTGTCAATTTTCGTACAAATCAGCAGCCAATCAACATCAACTAACTGTTTACAATTTATAGTTGCATTAACTGCACTTTGTTTTCTTTTTTGCTTCTAACGAAACGTGCAATCGGAAAATGTTGCAAATGTTGTTTTAGCGACGGTAACGCGACGGCGAAGGCGACGGTGACGGCGGCGGCAACACGACGAAAGTGCGTTATCGTTGCTGCGTAACGCGTAACGTAACGTAACGACCGATCGTAACGTCGCGCAACGAGACGCGCGCGCTTTTCGGGTATTTGTGATTTGATATATTTTTTTCTGGCTTGACGGGGAGATCGCGACGAGTAAATTTTTGGCGGCGTCCAAAATTTGTTCCGCTAGCTGTCCGCAGTTGTGGTTATTACTAATGTTGTTGTTGTTGTGCAGTGTGGCAATAACAATAATAATGCTATGTAATAGCAATAATAATAGTAATAATAATAATTTTTCTCAACGGTTGCGACGTTGGCGACGGCTTCGGCGTTTTGGCTTCGCTTCTCGCTTCGCACACAACACAGACAGCACAAGCACAAGCACGTCGTACGCGGTTCGAAGGCAAATACACACTGTCAATCATGCTCATGCACGCTTGCACGCCGCTGTCTGGTCGATCGTACACTCACACATACGTACGCACACAGTCGCAAAGACGGCGGCGACGCAACAATTGTGCCATTAAAAAAGGTTGTACAAAGCGGTGGCTCATAAATTTGCCAGCAGTGCGAGTGCGATGGCTATACAAACACATCTGACTCCGGCGAATTGTGGTGCGTGCGTGTGTGTGTGTTTGCGCCTGCTGGTCGCTTTGTTGGTGTAATTACGGCGAATTGCGCGGCGAAAGCGCAGGCGCGCTCTTGTGAGCGCACTACAAAATGGGGCCCAAAGGCAGAGCGCAAAGGATGATGACTGATTTGTTAGTACGCCTTTTCTGTCATACACACACTTGTCACAATCTGGCCTGGGCTGAGCTACTCTACTGCGCTCAGTTTTGCTATGTATTTTTTGTTTTTGTTTTTGTTTTTCCCATTTGTTTTTCGACTCTTTTTGCGCAACGACGACGTCGTCGTTGTCGTCGTCGTCGTCGTTGGCGTTCGCTCAACGTTCGTTCATTCGTTTGAAATTTATTTGGCTTTGGCCAAAAGGAGACGGCTTATAGGTTTTGGCCGCTGCTACCGTCGCATCGCCTCTCTCTGCTGCTGCCAGCGTCGTCGTCGTCGTCGTTGTTGCCGTCGCTGTGCGTGCGTTGAAAATCAGCAAAAACCAATCCCATTTGTTATTTTCGCTTGAGTGAGTGGCAGTTTGCATCAGTTTGCCATTCAGTCTTCTTTGGCCGCCCCACCTGTGCGCGCAGGCATTGGGCATTGGGTGGTTTTTGGGCTGGGGTTGAGCGTGTTCTCTGCGCTCTGTGCTATGTTTCTCGTGTTTGTGTCAGTGAGTGCTTTCAGGTGTTTTCTAGCCGTTGCCACTCCAGACGTTGTCGTTTGGCATTGCCTTTGCCTTATGCTTGCTTGCGCTTGTCCGTCACTTCGCATCGCGCTCAACTTTCGCTCAATTTTTTTTTTCGCTCTTAGCCAACTTACACACACAGAATCATACAAAGAGAAGCACCTACAAACACACACGCATGCATACATAGACAGTTGAATAGGCAACGCCTTCAAAAGCTGCAGCGACGTCGTCGTCGTCGATGTCGCCGTCGCCAGGCGTCATGGCGATCCAGCCACTTAGCCAATGATCCTGCCAGCAGCAACAGCAACAACAAAAGCAACAATAAAAACAACCAACAGCTGTTCGCACCGTGAACTTTGTGTGCAATAATAAATCGCGCGCCGATAAATTCAACTGCCCAAAATGCATATCCTGCCGCTGCCGTTTGTTATTGTTGTTGTTGCTGCTGCTGCTGGCGACTTCGTCGCCGTGTCGTCGTCCTCGTGGCAGTTTAAAAAGCAGTTAACACATATTCCGAGGCAATTTTTCAACAACGCATTTTTGGTCTGTGTGTCCTTTTGTTTTTTTTGTTGTTCCTGTTTTCCGATTTTATTTTTTATAATTTTTTGGTTTTTGGCTAACCGGCGTGCGGCGCCCGGTCGCCATTTTCATTTTTGGGGAGCCAACGGCAACATGGGCGGCTGCTGCGTCGACGCCGGCGCTCGTTTTAATGCTGCCGCCGTTTTTGCGCGTTTTTAGGCAAAAATGAAAAATTGCTTTGTTTTTTGTTTTGCTGCCTGGCTGACTGTATGGTTGCCTGGCTCGCTCCCTGGCAAGGATGTTGCCACTGTTACACCGATGACAAAGATAATAATAATGATGATGATGATTCTGCACTTAATCTGGTTTCCATTTCAAAACAGCTGATCATATTTTGTTCTTATTACGCGTCTTTTCCCTATTGTTGTTGTTGTTAGGAGGTGAGGAGATTGTTCGGCCTCTGGGAGAGTCACTTGTCCTCGTCTCCATTCTCCCGCATCTTTCGTCTTACTGTCGCCCACTTGACAAATTTATGAGACGTTGATTGATTTGCGGTTTAAGATTTTTCCCCCAACTTTTTTCAATTTTCATGCAAAATTGTTGCTGTTGCCGTGTTGTTGTTGTTATTGCAGTGCCAATGTGCTTAAATTTAAGACCTGCTAATGCAAATTTGTGTGCCAAATGTGAGCGAAAACAAAGCGAATACAATTCGTATTCATTTGAAAATTCAATTAAAAGTAATAAATTGCTAATTTATTTGAGTGTGTTGAGTGCTCGGGGTAAATAGAAAAGGTGGGTATTGCCAAAATGGGTTTGAAGATAGAAACGACTAAAGTGGCATCCGTGTGATTTATAACAAAGTTCAAGGATTAAAAGGCAAGGATGCAACGATATACGAGTCAAACTATACAACAAGGTGGAAATCTTTTAAGATAATTTACTAATTTGAAATATATGGAGCTTCAGATTTGACTAGGGTTGAGATTTTGATCAACTAGCTGAAGAAAATTATATTTTGTCAGCGCTCAGTTAAATAATTCCTCTAACAAACAAATATTTTTTTTCTATTGTATTCTAAAATTTATGACTATACGAAATTTAATTATTATTAATTTATTATCATGCATGTATGTTTACTTTTCAACTATAGTTATTTATTTAAATTGATCCTCTAGTTAAATTATCGCCAAGTGAATTAAAGTTGTTCTTATTGTAAAACGCGCTCTATTGAATCTCTTACATAATGTGAATTAAATGTGACCCGTAAATAGTCAGAAATCTAATTGAAACGGTAAATGGGACCACATTTGATTGGGTCTGCAAGGTGCATGTTATATAAAAAAACATTTTAAAATCTGGCTTTAACACGCTAAAGTTCACCAATTAAGAGTTAAATTTTTATATAAAAGTTAGCCAATCAAACAAGGTTTGAGCTGCACTCGAGGAAAACCAAATATCTGCACTTGTTAGTAATTTTGTTTATTGCATTCTTTAAGAGCACGCAAAATGGAAGAAAATTGTAATGGGAATTTAATTTAATTTAATATAACAACTTGGCAAAATTGAGGAGACCATGAAATTTAAATAAGCAGACCCCAAGCAAAGAGCGAAGGGCGCACCGAGGTCTCCACCCACCGAGGAAAAAAGATAGAGGAGAAAAAGAGAAACGGCAGCTTGATAATAAGACGAAAAGCTCAAGGCAGCAAAATTTCATTTGGAAACTTCCAATCCCAGACGAGCGCTGAGCGCTGAGCATTGCTGCGGCATTGATAGGCGAGACGGACGAAGAAAACTGTGTGCGAGCGAAAAATAAGGCGATGAGAAAGCTCATGCTCACACACACACACACAGACAGCGCATAATACATATACACAAACACACACACACATACAGAGGAGCAGACTGAGGCGCAGCCAATATGATTTAAAGCGGTGGCAGCGGGCCCCAAATGAGCGCCAACCGTTGCTCGCTCACACTCGCGCACACACACGACAGCTGGTGCTGTTGTTGTTGGCGCTGCTGCTGTGCATGACAATTCATCTCTTTCTTATAAACGCAATTTATCAAATGAAAACGACGAGCGAGCGACAGCAAAGATGAAGACGACGACACGATATCAAGTTGATGTGAATGTGCCTGTTTGTACGTTGTTGCATGTGTGTGTAACTGAAGCTGCGTGTGTGAGGCGAGGCTCACTCAAACTCAACTTGAACTGAGCGCCGTATGCCGAGTGCAACACGAAAGTCGCTCGCGAAGCGAAATAAAAAAAATTAAAAATGGCACATGAAGAAAAATAGGAGTTGCCGTCGGCGCTCGAGAAATCAACAACAACAACAGCAGCAACAGCGACAGCGACGATTTTCTTTTTGGCAGACCCCAACTGGTTGATACTGAAAAACCGCCATAATCTTGACAGACAAGTGCACACTCGCTCTCTCATACACACACACTCACCGAACGCGCCGCTCTTCGCCGCATTGTTTTCGCTTATATTTCGCGCTCAAACGGCCATTTCGCTGCACTTTTAATGGTTTGTTTTTGTTTTCGTTGCGCGCACAAGAAAGAGAGCAGTAAACGAGCTCAGGACCGACGATACGACGATACGAATTCGCCGCATTGTACGAGCGGGCTAGCATGATATATGCGCATTCGCTTTTTATGGCAAACCGAACAGCTGTTTATGAGGCGCGTACAGTTTAAGAGTCACTGGATTTATACTCCCGGCTAATTTGTATTATTTTTTGCACATTTAGTAGACAAAACGTTTCGTTTTAACATTTACCTGCTTACATAAATTCATATTTACCTGTCCGCTTGCATACCTTACCTTCGCTTAGGTCCAGCTAAAGACTACAAACGAAATTTTGTGACTTTCAACGCTTGACGCGGCCTGCCATAAACGACTTAGGAGGACTAGTCTCTGCCCTTTACCTGGTCCAGGACTCGCACCCACTGCGCTTTCCGGCCAAGTCATTCAACCCGCCATGCAAAAAAAATTGCAAGGACTCCATTAATTCCCTGCGGTGCCGGCATTGAACCAGCCTTATTTTTCAGCCAACAACAGAGTCTATGTTGGACCAAAAAATAGATCGATATACACAAATAAATATGCCGGTCATTGGCGGCGCCCCCTACCCTGCCCAGTACAACGCAGCCAGCGGCCCACGGGATGACAACTTGTCGTCTCGTCACTGGGTCGTCTGCTTGTGACAGGCGGCGCCGCTGCCCCCGGCGGCATTAAACTGTTGCCCGAATTTCAGGACACGGCGATGTTTTAAAGCCACTGCGCCGAAAGTTTGCGAAGCGTTGGCAATTTGTAAAACGGAAAGGCGAAAGGAAATTGCCCTGTGGCAGCTTTAAGAACGCTTAAAGGGAATCAAAACGGCACTTACCTGGCATTTGCAGGGCTAAAAAATAAAGAAGCCGCTCTCCGGGAGCGACCATTCATCATACGTTACCTGCAAGGCAAAAGAAAATAATTGAAAATTCATTTAATTTCGTATAGACAGGAAAGTCACAGTTTCAGTCACCCAGCGGCATGCAAATGAGCCGAAGGACTGCGACGGCACCGGAGGATTAAGATGCATCTCAGCCAGCCTGG